TTTATTATTAATCTTAAATTTTATATATATATTGCTATCAGATTATTATGAATTGTTCAATGCTCCATTAATAAAATATTTAAAACTGATACATCTTTCTATTCTAAAGAAAGTAATTCTGATATTAAAAACTTTTGCAATAAAACTTGTCTATATAATACTATAAATAGAGTAAATTATATTTTATAAGTTTGTTGTTTGCCCTTGTTTAAAGTAGTCCTGAAAATGGTCTGATTTGTTTTTTGAAAAATCTTCTATCGATTCTGATTAATATTATTTGAATTTTCGACCGCTATTTCTCGATTGTTCGATTGAGTGAAAAGAACTGATTACCTTTTTAATTGTTTTAGATTAAGACTTTTGTAATTTCAAAAATCATTCACTTATTGGTATGGATAAACTACTGTGATAAACACATATTTAAGCGCAATCGCTTTGAAAGAATGAATGCTAACTGATTTTTCTGGTATAAAATAATTTCGTCCAAAATTATTTATAAAAGGTTAGTTATTACTTGTTCACTTTCATTAGCTACACTAATGTCGTTGCGGAGCAACGTGAAAATTACTTGGACTGCTATCATTGTTAAGCAATCTCATTATGCTTTTGAATTTTTTAAACAATTGAAGTAATATGGTGAAATATCCAAAAATTTAGATAAACATTAGCCAAGTTTCGGATTTTTTTGAATAACCTATTGGGACCTTATTTATTTAAATCTATCGGGGAAAAGCCGTGGTGGCTCAGCATTCGTCTCCCAATGAGGTGAAACCGGATTCGAATCCCAGCAATGGCTCGTCGATTCGAATTCCACACCCGGCTCGCACCGACCACAGTGCTGACGAAAAATATCCTCAGTGGTAGACGGATCATGGGTTAAAGTTCCCTTGTCCTCAAACTAACTGTGAGTTCCATCAAAAAGTACTCCACGAAGGCAGAATATCTCCCAATACTTGATCCTGGAGTTCCTTTGTCTTCTGGATTGGGTTCAAAATGACAAGGCTACGGAGTTTATAGTCGTAAACTCAAAATTGGTTTGGCTGTTCTACGGTTAAATAAAATAAATTCTATCGGGAAAAAATCAATTAATAAAACTTGTCTGACTTCACTTCGTAACTTAAATTATAGTTTGTACCATGTAATTAAGATAATCACTCGAACTTAATAAGTCAGTTATTAGATAAAAAGTTATTCATGATTTCCTTTTTCTCCTGTACATTAACAATTTGAAGATGTGTAAGTTTGTAAAATTATAATTATTATAGCAATTATAGAAAACGTGAATGCACTGCTGAGATTTCCTATCTATTTATAGCGTTTATTTTAAACTCATACGAAATGTATTTATTTTATTTAGTAAATTTAGATTTGCTTTCCTGGAAATTGTCTATATTTGTAGCGTTTATGTTTGAAGGTAATTTCGTTGATTCTTACTTCACAGGATGTCCTCCATAATTAGGCAATTATTTTTAATTTCTTTTCTGAATTGTTTCGAAATTCACGATATAAAACTAAATTTGGCTTTTTAAATGAGGTTTTCGAAAAAAATTCGAGGTTATTCGAGATTTTCGAATTCCTATGGCAAATCCTATGTAATGTTCGAGTTCGTGAATTTTACAAAAAATCTGGAAAAGACAGGTTTATTGTAAATTTCTTTTCTGTGGTTCTTAGTAGATTCGAATCATTTTGATGATTGGTTTTGCCCAACTCTAGTTCCTAGCTTCTAAAGACTCTCTTCTACGCCTCTTATCTTCAGGAGAAATTGGTGAAAAATTATATAATAACTTTCTTTTCCTGTTTTTTTTTTTTTTTTTTTTTTTTTTTTTTTTTTTTTTTTTTTTTNTTTTTTTTTTTTAGATTGTTTGCATTTGTTTTTTAATCTTTTTTTTTATATCTTTTTCTATTTATTTCTTTATTTTTTTTCCATTTATTTATAATGGTTTACCTACTGATTCAAGCATATCAGTGGCGATGATTTATTTTATTTTTATATTACAACCGTCGTAAAACGGCCGATCCAATTTTGAGTTAACGATTACTGCAGTGTTCAACTCCGTAGCCTTGTAATTTTGAACCAAATCCAGAAGACAAGATAACTCCTGGATCAAGTATTGGGGAGAAGTTTGCCCTCGTGGAAGACTTTTTTCATGGTACTAACTCGCATTTGCGTTACATGCAGTGAAAAACCACGAAAACTTTTCACATTAGTCTGACGGCAAGGGGACTCTAACCCATGATCCGTCTACCACTGAGGATATTTTTCGTCAGCTCTATGGTCGGTGAGGGCCGAGTGCGGAATTAGTGACGACCAGCCATCGCCGGGATTCGAATCCGGTTTCACCTTATTGGGAGGCGAACGCTCTATCCCTTGAGCCACCACTACCCGGAGATGATCTACTGACTTTATTCAGAAATTTTCGGTGAAAATTAGACATATTTCTTTTAATCAAATATAAACATTTGTTTTACCGACTCCGTCTGGCACAATTTAAAAAATATTATAATGTCAGAAAAATCAAACGTTAAAAAAAGTATTGTTTTTATAATGACAGATTTTATTTATTTATTTTATTTTACTTTCGCAATAAAGCGAGGAATTTCTGTACTATTTTATTTCAGGGTTCATGCATTCCTTTTTATTTAAATATGACGATATACAAAATCACAGAAATAAGTGTCATTAAGTGATCTCTTTCAATCCTTTTATTTGCGAGTTTTTGTTTACACAATCTATTTTTCTGTTCTCAGGTCAAATGGTTTTTTGAGTTATGTCATGTAAATCAATCATTTTTTTTGATGATTTTTTGAGTTACATCATGTAAATCAATAGTTATTTTTTTAGTGATTTTTTGAGTTATATCATGTAAATTAATCGTTTTTTTTAATGTTTTTTTTTTTTATTTATATCATGTAAATCAATAGTTTTTCTTGTTGAAGAAATTAAACTATTAAAGCCATTATCTAAATCCTAGGTTTTAATTTTATATTTTGAATATATTATTTTATTTTTTACTTGATTTGAAATTCTGTAAAAAGTTTTTGTTTTGCAAATTTTAAGTTAATTGTTCCTTTTATAATCTGTGTTGGGCGTAAAGCAGGGTTGGGTTTTTGACGTCAAAAAGTGGTTTTTGACATGACAAGGGTATAATACTGGTTTAAACCGTCAAAAACCCGTCAAAAATGTCAAAAACTAAAGTTTGCCACAAAAATATATAAACTTCAAAACTACCAACAGTTGCCATGCATTATATTGAAATTTAATTATACTATAGGTAATCAGCAGGTTTTAAGATATTTTTTAATTAAAATTAAGGTAAAATAACAGATTTAAAATCTCAGAAATTTATATTCAAATGCATGTGCAGAAAAATTTTGCACAAAATATTTTTAAATATTTATATTTTTAAAAAAAAAATTTTTTTTTTTGATACTTAAGAAAATTAAAAGTTTATTACTATGCATTTTTGACATATAAGGAACATATAACTAATATTTATAAGGAACTTACAAGTTATGTTGTATAAATACAAACTTGATACAAGTGTATAAAAATTTTTTTTAATGTTATACCGAATATCTTTATTATCCAGTATGTTAATTTGAATTTAAAAGTAGTTATATTTGTGAATAATGATAAATATAATTCATATTGTTTATTATATTTATTTATAATTATTACACTTATCATTTTAAAACAATTTTTATCTCTTAATTTTTTTTTCTCCACTTGTATTAAGAATACAAATAATGCATATCTTGAAAGCAAGAAGTAATTATTCAACAGCTGAATATTTAGATATTCAACAAAACTATATAGTATTCAGCAAAATGAAATTCACAAGTATTTGGATAAACTAAATTTTCAGCATAGTAAATGAATAGGCTGAATATACTGTAAATCGACACTAACTACTCTGTGTATTTAACAGAAAGCACTTAAATTTGTATTGTCTTATGTTAAAAAGATTATTAAGAAGATTTAAAAGAATATTAAAAAGATTTTTCTTTAAAAGATGTCTAATGTACAAAACTGCTAATGTTTATCTTTAAAAATGTCTAATTTTTAGTATAATCTATACTATACACTAAATTTGGTTATAAATAAATTTCTTAATAATATCACTGCAGATTTTCAATAACACATGAAAATGAATACATAATATTACAAAAGATGTGAGTTTTCAAAAGTACAAGATTTTGGTTACTATTCAAAATATAAGTGTTTCTTCAAAATTTTAAATTTATTTTTTCTAGAACATATTTAGAAACACTATCCCTTATAAAAAATATATAAATTTTATGTATTAATTAAATTTCACATACGAATATAGGTTTTTGACATTTTTGACAGTGAGGTTTTTGACGTGACGGTTTAAACCATGGTTTAAACTGTCAAAAACTGTCACATGTCAAAAACCTGCCAACCCTGGCGTAAAGTAATAATTTAAAAAAAATTTTCATACTTAAACTGACTTTTTATTTTCATATTTGTATTTGAGTGAATAATTCTTTGTTGAAAATTTACACAAAAGTGCCGCGATGGCTCAGGGGATAGAGCGCTCGTCTTCCAATGAGGCGAATCGGGTTCGAATCCCTGTCGATACGAATTCCGCATCCGACTTGGTAGACTGATCATGGGTTAGAGTCCCCTTGCTATCTGGCTAACCATGAGAGGTTCTCTTGGTCTTCCTCGCCATGTAACGCAAATGTGAGTTAGTTCCACCAAAAAAGTCCTCCACGAAGGCAAATTTCTCCTAATACTCGATCCAGGAGTTCACTTGTCTTCTGGATTGGGTTCAAAATTACAAGGCTACGGAGTTGAACATTAGTAGTCGTAAACCCATAAAATTGGGTCGGCTGTTCCACGACGGCTGTAAAAAAAATAAAACAATTATATACAATACACTTTATTTGAAAAGATTATTTCTTTTAACCCAAATTTCAAATATGTACTCTCTATGGTATACTTGCGCTGAAATAAAATTTTTTCTTCTTTTCAGATTAAAAAATGAGCAAACAAAATGGACACCACAACTGGCCCAGGGACGTTGGAATAATCGACATTGAAATTTACTTTCCCTCCTACTATGTGGATCAAGAGGAATTGGAGGCTTTTGATAATGTCTCCAAGGGAAAGTACACCATTGGTTTGGGCCAAAACAAGATGGGCTTCTGTACGGACAGGGAAGATATCAATTCCATGTGTCTCACTGTGGTTGAGCAACTGATAAAGAAGAGAAATCTATGCTACAGCCAAATAGGGAGACTTGAAGTTGGTACAGAGACTATAATAGACAAGTCGAAGAGTGTCAAGACTGTGTTAATGGAACTTTTCAAAGAGAGTGGAAATCATGATGTTGAAGGCGTTGATTCGACTAATGCGTGCTATGGAGGAACTGCTGCTCTTTTCAATTCTGTAGCATGGGTGGAATCCAGTGCATGGGATGGTGAGTATTCAATAAGAATTAAAGGGCAAAATTTGTAATAATGACCAGTTGGAGTACTTTTAAAAGTGGCCATTTTTACAAAAATTGACAATTTTAAATGGTTACAAAAACTGTTGATATTAATAATGAAAGGCATTTCTCAAATTATGGTAAATATTGCAATGTTTGTTTCTGAAATGAAGAAAAATTTTAAGAAACAAGCGTTGGGAACAAGCTTGAAATGCCCTTCATATTAATAATGAAAGGCGTTTCTCAAATTATGGTAAATATTACAAGGTTAATTTCTAAAACGAAGAGAAATTTTAATAAACAAGCGGGAAGTTAGAAACAAGCATGAAATGCCTTTCATATTAATAATAAAAGGCATTTCTCAAATTATGGTAAATATTGCGAGGTTCATTTCTAAAATGAAGAAAAATGTTAAGAAACAAGCGTGAAGTTAGAAACACGCGTGAAATGCCTTTCATATTAATAATGAAAGCATACCTGCCAACTTTTACGCATTTGGCGTAAAATTTTATTTTTATATTTAAAGTGGTTGTAAATATATACTATTTTTTCTTTTATAAACTTAATTTTCAAATGATTTTGATTACCGCTATTCCTAAAAAAAACTAAGTCTATATAGTAATATGCGTTACTCTCATAGTTGTCAGCTTAAGCTCTTTCAAATACAACAAATTTCCTTGCGTAAAATTGAAATTTCATTCCCATTTTAATACCACTGGGGAAAATCATATGGGAAGGGATTGAAAGTTGGCAGGTATGTGAAAGGCATTTCTCAAATTATGGTAAATATTGCAAGGTTCATTTCTAAAATGAAGAAAATTTTTTAGATGGTAAAGTATTGTTAATAATTCCATATTTGTTTGAAAAAATAAACAATAAAATAGACGTGGGGTGCATTTTCCACAAAAAAAGGCAGTCATGTGGCAATTGGAAAATTTTTAATTACCATTTGTTATATCTAATTGGTTTATGACTTGAGTCCACTATTAATTTTGCCCTATACTAAGAATCATGTTCATGCTCTGATTTTTAGAATTAAAGCCATCATGTTTATGGTACTTTAGTGGCAGTACACATTGTTATTGATGTTCCTCAATATTTTTAGTTCTTTCTTCTGAAAATGAAAATGTAATTAAGTCAATATTCTGCCAGTGATATTGTACATATTTTTTTCTAATACAACAAAAAGTTTAGTTAATGAAATTGAAACTTTATTTTTTAAGCCTTGAACATTTAATGTTCGTTAAATTTTTGTTTAAATTTTTATAAATATTAGTTCAAATAAATTTCAATATAATTATTATATAGTTACTTAGGGCCCTATATAAATTATTGCCTGTATTATTTCAATTGTTCTAACTGTTATCAAATTCTAACTTTAAGATAATAAGCATTAAAACAAAAATAGTTTTTTCTTTTTTGAGAAATAATTTTTTGTGGAGCAAGGATGCCTTTCCCTTTTTAATTATTCTTACAAAGAGAAATTACTAATAAGACTTTTTTCTGATTTCATCTTGACACAGAATATAATAATTATATTAATTCCATCTTTAACTAAGAATAATTTTCCAAATTATACTTTTTTCTTTTTTGATTTACTTTGTTATTCTTCAACATGATTAATAACAGATTAATTTTTGCCAGATATTTTAAAAATATATAACTGCATAGTTATGTATTTTTGTCTATATTATAAATAGACTTGTCTGTTATAAATAAATGCATCTATTTTAATTTATTCTTCATTTTGGCATCAATAAGGTCTGGTAAATTTTTTCCATTTGTAATGGTTATTTCTTTTTGCAGTTTAAAGATAATTTCTTTGTAAATCGAAAATAAATTTCTGAATGTATATTACATGAATTTATATGAGTTTTTGTTTGTATTTTAACTTTTTTTTCACAGTTCAAGGGAAATTTCTTTGCCAAGCAGAAATTTATTTCTAAATGCATTTACAAACGTAACTTTCTGCTTGTATTAATAATTTCCTGTTACAGTGTAAGGTTCCTTTTTACAGTGTTTGCCTTGATGAAATTTTGTAACATTTTAAATTTTAGCATTAGAGGTGTCTTTAGTTGAAAAACTCTATCTTTTGATAATTTTTCAATAATTTTTTTTGTTTCAAGATTAAAAAATAAATTTTTGTATTGAAATTTTTACACCTTCATCTTAGAGGTATAAATACATGTTTGTTTGTTGAATGTGTAAATTAGTATTAAAAGCTGTTTTTTTTGCCATTTTAGGTCGCTATGCATTAATGGTAGCTGGTGATATAGCAGTATATGCAGAAGGAAATGCTAGACCTACAGGTGGAGCTGGTGCTATAGCTATTCTTATTGGCCCAAATGCACCTATAGTTTTGGAACGAGGTAATTTTTTTATTTGAATTTTTAATTTGTTTTTCTTGTTTTATAGTTCTAAATTAAAAATTAGTATTCGACAATTTTGATTTTTGCTACAATTTAATATTTGTAATTTCATACATTTAATTACGAGAACATGTAACTTTAATTTAGTATGAATCTGATATTTTTTTGTGTATTTTGATTTTTCGATAACTGTCTGCATGTGTTGCAAATGTGCATGCTTAGTTTTTGCTTAACTCATTGTGTATTTCCTGTATATTGAAAAAAATTTAAAGGTTATAAGAAAAAAGTAAGATTAAAAAATTAGTTTTAGTTAAAATAATTTAAAGAAAGTAGTGTAAGTGGCATTTCAATTGCATGTTTGTTAGTTTCACTCAATATCTATACATAATACAAGCGTTACTCCGAAATTTTAAAGAGATGGTCAAGGGATAAGTGTAAAACAATTAATGGTCAAATATGTAATGTATGATTCTTTTATGCTCAGATATACTAATTATTGCAATTTAATCCTATTTTTATAAATTGCTGCAATTTAAGTTTTAATAAGTGAGTTTTAAGAAGAAAAAATGATGTAAGTGTGAGAGCATATCTTTTTATTTTAAAGGGAGGATAATTTTTTTAATGTTTACAATTGGTCTATGTAAGATATGGATATAAAGGACTATTATTATTCATATCGCTTATGTTGGATTATAAATGTTAATATTATTAGTGTTTAACATTTTTATCCTTTAAATGCAAACCGAATATCCCAACTTCATTTATGAATTTTTTTTTCTACACATGTATGGTTGACTGTCTGAAGTATCCTTTTACTCACCTATTTATTCTTCAAATATCACTTACATTATAAGTTTCTTTTAACTGATTCTAGTATAGAGTAATTTTAAACGATAGAAATGGTCTTTGTTTTGCTTTGCTTTGGTTAGAGAAATGAGAAATATTAGTTTTTCCTGAATACATTATAATTAAATGCAGAATTGATTACCAACTGAGTGATAAATTATTGTATAGTCACACTTATTATGAGTACACTCTTTTCATAACTAAGATAAGTAGTTTAAAGGGCCGGGAGAGCCTGGTCGGTAGGGTGCTGGGCCGATGTCCGAGAGTTCGTGGGTTTGAACCCCGACGGCTGGTCTCCCCATGTAGTAAAGTGACTGATGCACGTTAAATCTGTTGAGTCGCAAAAGTCCTCCATGTCCCCATAACAAATTAATACCTCTGGGGGTACTGGATTGGAGATTGATCGTTCTCTGATTCACGTCAAAATTACGATCTGTGGTTGAATGGGTCCGCCCTATAAACAGGTGCGCCATATGGTGTGGCAGAAGTCGAATTCTTGGCCATAGAGGGCGCCACTGGAAAACAAGAAGAATCGCATCCCCTCTGCATAAACAGGCATATGTCAACAACAAAAGTAGTTTAAGGAATTCTCACTTATCATTATGCTTTGTTAGAAAATTTTTGCTCCTACACAGAAAAATAAAATTCCCAAGTGATATTTTAGGGACTTTTTTGAAAGACATGCGTACATTTTTGGTTTAAATTGTTGAAAAAATAAATTAGCCCCAATTATTAATTTCTATATTTAGTATTTGCTTGATTTATGTCTATTAATTAATGAGTATTATTTTACCAGGTTTGCGCTCTACTTACATGGAACATGTGTATGATTTCTATAAGCCTAATCTCATGAGTGAATATCCTACAGTTGATGGAAAGCTTTCTGTTCAAAGTTATGCCAAAGCACTCGATAAATGCTATGAGGGATTTTGCAGAAAGGCAGAGAAGCTCTCTAAAGCCAAAAGTAAGCAACAAATTTAGATGAAAATTTTTATTTTATTGAATTACCAAATAAAAAATCTGTTCTGGGTATTTCATGGGTACTTTTATTTGCTTTGAATTTCAATATAACTTTCTTTTAATACAAAATTAATTTTCTGTAGACTATTGATCAGATTCATGACACAGATATGCGTGCCTTACATAAAAAGTCTTGATATTTTGCAAAATATGTGAAGTTTTAAATATTTCGCTGTGTAATATAAGCAAAAAAAAAGTTTAAATATAACTCCTAAAAATAAATATAAAATGTATATGAGTGAGGAATCAAACAGTTCCGAATTTTTTCTATAGTTTTCAAATATATTAAAAGTTGGTTATAGCAAAAATTCGTAGTTGAAATTTTTGCTATAGTGAGCAAGCAATACACATATTTAATGTTATGCAAATATTTAAATAAATACACATATTTAATGCTGAAATCTCAATAATCAGATTGAAAAAATGAAATAGGCAATTTTAAATTTTTTCTTTTATTTTGAGCAACTCTTAAGCTATCTACAGAAAGCTGTTTTTACCTACAGATTGACTTGCATAGCTCTGTACCTCATGAAGGCAGAAATGTCTATGACAGGAATGCTTGATCAATAAGTTTTGAAAAATTTTTTTTTTTTTTGAGGAATGAAATGAAATACTTTTTTTGTTATTTTATTAGAGTGAATGTCGATTTTAATAGTAAGTTGTCCTGTAGGGAAATAAGGTGGCATGATTGAGGAAATTATGTTCATTTTTCGTTTCCTGTCTTAATGCTTGAAAGTGTCATTTTAAATTATTCAACGAGCTTTTGACTGTGTACCTATGAAAAAGTTGATTGTCTTTTAATTACCTTTGGAAATGATATTCTGATTCCAATGCTTTAACAATATGAAATTTAGGCTTTAATGTTTTGTTAAAGTATCATTAGATTAATTATTAATCATATTTTGGTAATTTTTTTTCTAACCTTAAAGACTTATTTTTCATGTGTGTATGTCTTTTAAATAGGAATTTATGTTATTTTTTAATTGACCACTTTTCGGGTTAAAAGTACCCAGAAATTTAGAAATCCTGTCCGCAATCAAACATAAAAATGAAATTTGTAGCATGGAAGTACTTTGTTTGTTACAAATGTGTTTGATTTTTCTTGTAAAAGAGATTAGTCCCAGAATAGTGTGTAATAGCCTTTTTCTGTTTAAGGTAAAAAGTGGTTTACTCTCAGAATGTTTGTAATAACTTTTTCTGTTTAAGGTAAAAAGTGGTTTTGTCTCAGAATGTTTGTAATAACTTTTTTCTGTTTAAGGTAAAAAGTGGTTTTGTCTCAGAATATTTGTAATAGCTTTTTTCTGTTTAAGGTAAAAAGTGGTTTACTCTCAAAGACTTGGATGCTATGCTATTCCATACTCCATATTGTAAGTTAGTTCAAAAGAGTTTGGGACGTCTTGCATTTAATGATTTTAAAAGAAATCTAGACTCCGGAGCAGAGGAAGAGTACAAAGGACTGGAAGTGTATCGGTAATTGAATATTTTCTTTTCATATAGTACAACCATGTTTTCACGTTAATGTAATATATTTTACTGAAATAAAATAAAAGCTGAAAAGCATAATTTTTGCTGCTGTAATTTTTGATCATTTTATTCAGTATATATTAATAAATTAGCTAAGTACATGTTCTTTTTAATTTTCAAGTTTAAGTATAACGCAAGTGTACTGTGTAAAGTAACAGTATTCTTTTTCATAATGGAATATTTCTAAATATTTATAAAATTTATAGTTATTGAATAATGTTAATGTTTAAAAGCAACTTAATTATGTTTTTATTAATTTTTTTAAATTTAATTTTAGTAATTTGAAGTTGGAAGATACTTATTTTAATAAAGATGTAGAAAAGGCATTTGTGGATTTCAGTAAGGACATGTATGAGACCAAAACTAAACCAAGTTTATTAATTCCGAAGGAAGTTGGAAATATGTACACACCCTCACTTTATTCATGCTTAGTTTCTTTCATTGCCAGGTATTGCAATTTTCTTTTAAATTAAGTTTTTATAATGCAAAAATTAATACCTATCTTTTATTGCTGTTTGTATTAATTGTGAAACTATTTATATCTGATTACATTTTTACCTGTTAATCAATTTTATAAACCAATGAATCATATAGGATTTTCATTGTAATTTTTGTGAAATTATATGGAATGTTTCAGTATTCTTAAAACTATTTAAAATTAAAATGAGAAATTTGAATGTTTCAATGCATCACAATATAGAAATTTGTTTTATTTAACTCATTTTTTTTTCTTTAAGAACTATTAATGATTTAGGAAAAAGTCTCGCACACTGTCTTCTTGAAAAAAATTAATTTAAATCAGGATTAAAATATTTTTATATTTTCTGCTTTACATAAATCACAGTGATTTACAGCATTTAGAAAATTTCATTAACTGTTTATGTTTTATAAGTATTTTGTTAAAAGAAAAGTTTATAAATTTTTACTACGCAATTCTATATTTGGAATTTCTGTTATTATTTATAAAGCTCATGAAATTCTAGCTTATTTTTGAAAAAAATTCTAGTACAAGTTATGTAATTTCAAACTTTTTTCCTGATGCTTTTTCACACCGAAATCCCCGCCCCCACCTCACATTATTTTCGGAGAAACATTGCTTTGCAGGTGAAACAGTTCATTAAAATCCATCTTAAGACCTTTGTCACATTTCCAAGAAAGATCAGAAAACTTTTTCTGTTTTTAAGTTTAGTGTACTTAATTGCATTATTGAAAAAATGATTTTTAAACCCAATGAGTTAAAATAAAATATTTTAAATAATCATATACTTATGTATACAATAATTAAAAAAATGTTTCTTCTATTTTCTAGCATATACTGTGTTCCAAACATACTATGTTTGTATTAAATATGTTGGCGTGTTGATTGTATATTTGTAGTGTAAATTATTTTACTTTTGTAAAAATCATATGAAATTTTATAAAGTATTTAGCCTTTAAATTTTTTTCAAATCTGTATTAGTAGGTGGTTATTATGAGCATGGGAAACTAAATTATAACAAAAACTAACTTATCATCTTTGCTCTTAAAAGTGGCTGAATTTTTTAAATCATTCTACAAAAAACCACTGTCGAAAATGTTTGAAAGAAAATCTATTTTCTATAGGTATACTGTAAATAGGTATACTGTAAATAGGTATACTGTAATTGTGTATGCTTTTTGCTTAAAAATTTTTCAAAGCAAAATCTTTATCTTTTCTAAAACAAGTTAAAAATTATAAACTGTGTAAAGATAATTAAAAATTACTATGAAAATTATTTTTAAAATATACTGTTCACAAATAAACTAATGACTTATCATTCATTACTTATTTTTATATAGGATTTCATACAGCCACTTTTCATAATCTCATAAACAATATCTCATAAATGATGTTTCATAAATAATGAATGAACAATCGTAAATTTTTTAGCATTTTTTCTTCAAAAGCAAATTAAATTTCCTTTCATTTTATTATATTGTCTTTTTTTGTGTTTGGAATTTTTATTGGTGAGAAAATTTTTTACCAGTTTAAATAACCAGTTTTAAATATTTGTGCTATAATACTTGTACTAAATCAACTTATAGCTCTAATTTTTTGTGTATTAAGTTATAAGTAATTTAAGTTATAAATTGGGAATTAAGTTTTATGAATTTACCTAAAATAATTACTAAGCCGGGTTAAAACACTATTTGTGCAGTAGAGAACCGATTATCCGGAAAAATGGGGACCATCGCAATTCCGGATAACTGATTTTTCCGGTTTTCTGAATTGCTACAAAATGCCGTTTTTTTAATGTTTATAAAACGAAATTAAAAAATTATTTTGAAATAGTTTTAGAAATAATAAAAAATGATAAATAATAATACACTTAAGTTTAAATAAGGAAAGAAATTATGAAATAAAAATTATATACAGGCTTATATATGTTATTAATGTTATTATTAACATTAATAACATATATAAGCTATTTGTGCTTATGTGAGATTAGTCTACAAGCGGCTTTTGATCCATTCTCTAAATCAGTTCTTTCGTCAACTCGATACGCCATACGCTCTAAATAACAAAATGGGCTCAAAATCTTGCAAGAAAAAATATTTTTTTTAATGGGGGAAAATTAATTTCCTGTTCCGAATTTCATTCCGGCTATCTGGTTTTCCGGTTTTCTGGATAAGAGGTTCAGCACTGTACTATAATACTTGAACTAAATCAACTTATAGCTCACATTTTGTGAATTAAAAAATTTTTTTAAAAACATTTTTCTGATTTTTATGTTTTAGTAAAAAAATTGAAGACTTGGGTGGTATTAGAGTTGGTATGTTTTCTTATGGATCTGGGTTAGCTGCTACCCTATTTTCCTTACAATTTTCTGAAGACATCACAAAGGGATCACCTCTTCGTCACTTACACGATAGTCTTCAAAACATCAAAGCTCGCCTATCAAATAGGAAAAAGATAACTCCAGAGATGTTTACAGAAATCTTAAAACTTAGAGATTCCACTCACCACAAAGGTAAGTCGTATTGATATATGTACAGGGCGTGGAGAAAAAACAAACAACAACTGAACAAAGTCATTACATTGTAGAATAGAAGTTGACTGATTTCTTTTTAATTTGTTTGTCCATTTTCTTTGTGTCTATCTCTCTAATTATAAAATATTTTATAATAAATCTTATATTTATTTTAGCTTTTTTACTATGTCAAGCAAAAGATCTGCTATTTTTGAGTTTATTATAATTCGATTGTTATATATTATATATTATCAAATTATAATGTTTATTGCAATTTGATTGTTATATATTATATATTATCAAATTATAATGTTTATTACAATTTAATTGTTATGTATTATATATTATCAAATTATAATGTTTATTTCAATTTCATACTTATTTGAATAAATCTGTTATTTTAGAGTTAAGGCAATGAAAATTAAAGTGTGAAATCATACCTTTGCTCTGTACAAAATTTGAACTTTCTTAAGCAATCTCTTTGCTTCAGTGAGAATGGGTTTGATTAAAGGTCCAAAACTTGCAGAAAATTTTAAAAAGCGTTTGTACCTCTACATTGTCCACTTTGAAACAAATTTATTAAATTTATTTATTAGTAAAAGTCTACTCTTTTTATTATTTGTTATATTTTGTTGACTTTTTTTTAAAAATAAAATTATATAAAAAACTAATTTTTCAGTTAAATTTGTTGCACTCTGTATGTGTATGATATAGGGCAAAATTAACATTTGTTATGTGCCCAAGGCGACTAATTATAAAAAATTGCTATCAAAAAATTGTATGCCAATCACCACTTTCTTCATTTTTAAAAAACTGCATTATATTGCAATTTTTTTATATTTAAGCTTGGAATTATTATGAATATTTTAATATTTTAAAAACAACTTCATGCTTGTTTCTACATTTTTCTTCCCTTTAGAAATAAACCTTTTAATGTTTATCATATTTCAGAAAAGCAGTTGCAAAGTTTCCTACAGTTTATTACATCCTGATTTAATGAGATCCCAAGTTTAAAACAAAATTTTTAATACGTGATTAGTTTAATGTTAAAATACTTTTTAAAACTCTGTTGTTGCCAGCATAACTTAGATTTAACAAAATTGTTTATTGACTTCTGGAAAATTATCTTATTGAAGTTTTCAGAAAGAGAGTATTGTGACTGTTTGTATAAAGGGAGAATTTCATTCCAATTAAAGGCATTTAAAAAACTGTTGTATGATTTTGTTAAAAAATGGTATGCACATAAACCTAGTAGCCTGGTAATATGATTTTAAGTTCATCTATATCATTAACTCTCATTTAAATTTAGTAACGCGAACTAGTTAAAAATGATATTACTTAACATTAATGTTTAGACTGTAGCTAATTAAATTTGAAAAAATATGGTTTTTAAGAATTACAATTTTTAAAAATGAGGGAAAATTTAAAACTTTGTTTACAAATGAATTGAAAGTGCTTATTAGTTTAGAATAATTATCATGAGAATATTTTTGGTATAATTTATAGGAAATTTAAAAATACCTAAACTAAAAATGCTTTAATGCTGTACAGAATTGATATTTTTCGATTTTGTATAAAGTATTATTATTTTAATTTATTAAGACGAATTAATTTCTTTTTTAGAAAGAATATTTACCATTAATATTTGTTAAAATTTTAGTTATATACTCTATTCTATTAAAATACAGTTTTCATTTTGAAATTTTGTAATTTGTGCAGAATTATGATAAAAGCATTATAATATTTCTAAAAAAAATTGTTTTTATGTGAAAACTTATTTTTTTAAGAGTTGTTGTAGTTAAATATTATGTCCAATTTATCCTGGCTAAACTGGTTTGTTTTAAAATGTTAAGGTACACAAATAAGAATCACACTTAGATTTGTTACTTTTTAAATGAAGATCACACACAGTCATATTAATAATATAATTTTTTAAGCAAATGTTTCCTTCTTAAATGTAGCTCCATATACACCAGTTGGGAAAATAGCTGATCTTTTCCCAAGAACATGGTATTTGGAATATGTGGATGATAAACACCGAAGAGGTTATTTGCAGATGAAGGAAATACCTTCTTGTCTAAAAGTTAATGGCTGTATAACAAAAGAGGTAAATTCCCTTTCATTAAGTTTTTTATTTTCACCTATTTTTATATGTGTATGAATGTATAAAATAACTTTATTGCTAGATGAGAAGTTAGCAGTATCTCACATTGATGTGAAATAATTAAAAAATTTGTTTACAGGCATTGTGTTAAGCATTTTCATGTTTATGGTACAACATTAGCTCATTTTTGTTGAGTTTGTATGTGTTTATTCTTATGCATAAATTATTTGCCCAGTTGTTATTCTTATGTACTGGTGACAAATATTGTTTGCCCAGTATTGACTTTAAATAAGCAGTTATGTAATATGTTTTATACATATTAAATTTAAATTTTTCATTTCTGTAAAAGAATAATTATGTAAATTTTGAAATTTATTTCTGCATGCGGAGTCTAAAGTAATTTGCATGCTACTTGCATGATATGCAAAGTATTTGCATTTCATGCAACACACTTTTTCTGAAATAAATTTGCTTTATATATTTATTTTTCAATTTTCGAACAATAACATTTTCATACAGATTTATCATATAGATCTATTAGTTAATAGAGTTATAAACATGAAAACAGTTAGGTGTTGCTGTGTAAAAGTAGCAGTCCATAAAGAAACCAAATAGTAGAAACATTAGGTGTCTGTGTAATAATTACACATTAAAAATACAGAAACTTTTCCTTCCCCTCTGCTATTTTCTTCCTATGGTGCACATACTATCACTTTCCCAATAACTGAATAATAAATAAATAAAAAACTTATCAAAGATATATATGTACAAAATTCTGGATTTCAAAATTAATAATTATCAAAAAAAGCATTGTACTTTTCAAAAGAAGTTGAATTTTAGTTTATTATGGTTAACAAATGTCAAAATTCAAATATTTTATTATGAGTGGAATTTACTTAGCAAACATATTTACCTCAGTAATGGGGTATATGCAAAATGAGAATACATCGGAACTCTCTTCTAACAAGTGCAAATGGACTGCAATATTTGTTTATTATAACTGAGTGCTTAAAAAAAACCTGTTGGTAAAAAATCATTCAAGTCCATACATCCTTACTAAATTGTAATTAAATTACTTATTTTTTTTTAAAATTTATTTTTTAATTCTGTTTAATACCCTGGACAGTAACTGATTTATTTATGATAGCTATAATATTTTAGTTGGTTTTTAAACATTGTATTAAGAATAAAATTATGTAAGAATTAAAATCTTATAAGAAAAGTTGCATGGTAGCTATTTTTTAAATTTTTTTATTCATGTATTAAATTTGAATGATATAAATTAATATTTTGACAGTGATTTGTTGTCCAACTTCCGGAAGCTAATTAAAATATGTTGCTTTTGTGTATAAGTTTCCTGCAAAGTCTAAATTTTATTTTTGTATAAAAAATTTTACCGTTTATCATTATTTTTAAGTATAATATAGCAATAGAAATTAGGGTAAATTACTGCATTTGATAAAATCTTTTTAAATCTACATACATGCCACAGCTTTGTTACAAAACCTAGTTTTATTGATGGATTGTAAAATAAGGTTAAAATCAAATAAAATGAATATTTTTGAACTTAAGGTTATGAGGCTATAGAGCAATATTTTAATGACCTGTATGCATTTAACATCAGTTTGTGTGTATATAATTTTGGAACCTAGTAATCAAATTCAAGTACTAACATATATATACATATGTATATTTTAATATATATATATCAACGGTATCTCACCCATTGTGGTGGTCCTGAAAGAGTGGATACCACCTCTGGAGAACGAACTGGGTCTGCTCATTGGCAAGTCCGATTGTGCAGCTCATTGGAAATAAAAAAAAATAAAATATTTTAATATTATCATTGAATTATATGCTAATTAATTTAGAAACAATAAAACATCATTAAAATGTATCATTAAAATATTGTGAAACATCATTAAATGTTAATGGATCAGGAAGAACAAGGAAAAGCTATGAAATTCTTTAAGCGTTTAATCTTAGGCACAAAAAAAAAGTTGTATAATATTTTATTTATGTAATTTTTGAAAAAAGCTGACTATGCCCTACAAAAATCTGAGAAATGACCATCATTTGAATTTATATGCCTTTTAAATTGTGCAAAGGTGCAAAAGATGTCGAAAATCACATAATTGACATTTGTCCATATAATCACTGAATATAAGCATGAGTTTTATTTTTCACAAAATGTCTTCATTTACCAGGGAAATTTGTCTTTACCATTTTTCCCCATGCATCTCCCCTCTTTTTACTTTTAAGAATTCTTTTACGTATGAGGAAAAATGAGTGGCCAAGTGTTTTATCAATCAGTATAAAACTTCATGAAAGCTGCTTGAGGTTTTGATCTGGTACAAATGACCAGCTTAAATATTGATGACGACTGTATATTATAAAACATTCTAGGAATGAGTGATCTATCACTAAAATTCTAGTGTGCTGTATCTAGACAATATATTAAAGAATGTTCCAACCTGCACTTAATTAGGTTCTTGAAGTCTGAATTAGTTTCTAAGAGATTTGCATGTTAAATCTGTCGAGTCAAAAAGTACGCATGACAACTCAAACCTCTGGGGGTACTGATCCAGGAGTTTCCTTGTCTTCTGGATTGGTTCAAAATTACAAGGATACGGAGTGGAACAGTAGTTGTTGTAAACCCAAAACTGAGTCTTCTGTTCAATGACAAATATAAAATATAAAAAATAAAACTTACAAGAAACACGAAGACAAGTGCTCTCTATGCTGTCTAATTCAGTAAATTGATCCTGTTATGATTTTTTTTTGTTGCTGAAACTATGTCAGAGTTATAAGGAAAATTCGGCTTCTGGATTAACTCCTCTATAGTAAACTCTATAATAATCGATGTGATCTTAATATGAATAGAATTTAACTTAGTTAAATTTTTTACTATGATTGTAATTAAAATAAATAAAGAAATGAAAGGTGAATTTTTTAATTTCAAATGTAGTTTCCTTTTTCTGTGTTAGTTGTTTTCTAGGCTATCCACAACTTGTCTGCATAAGTTTAAAAACCTAACCAAATAAATAAATGGCAACGTAATGCCTTTATTTTTATCTTGAATAAACAACAAAATAATAATATATAACTACTATTAGTATATTGTGCATAGTATATATATGCATTGTTTGTCATAGTATTTTCTTATTTGTAAGTAGAGAGAGAAAATGCTGTTTTTTTAAACCACTAACTATTTAATACATGTTTATGAGTTATTGTAACTATTTTTTATTTTAAAGACAGTTTTATATGATATTTTCATTAGAAGAGTAATTTATTATTTTTTTAAATACAAAAATTAGTAAGATTTAAAAAAGAAAATGTATTGTACAACTTTGTTATAGCGACAGCGCCAAGCTTCTAATGTCACAGCTGCACGAAAATTTGAAGAAAAATATTTTAGGATGAAATAAAATATGTTTTTACCTCATAGAACTAAAAGTATCAGCACAGTAGAAAAAAACCAAATTCATTAACAAAAAATAACAAACTACCTATCACCTTGTGAAAGCACTACAGAAAATAGCAACCTAACTATCAAAAAGCAATTATATTAAAAAGAAGTTTGAGTGGATTCACTGATATACATGGCAGCATCGTCATGGTGGCATCAGCATGCAGCCAGTGCAGGAGTAGTTTCAGTGATGGGCAATTAATTACTGCAAACAACTAACAACTAAATAACAAACAGTATTTTGTTATTTAGTTTCTTATTTCTCATTAGTGATTTTGGTTTTGTTCTTACTGTGCCGATACTTTTAGTTCTCTTATGAGGTAATAACTTTTATTTCATCTTAAAATAATTTTTTTCAAATATATGTATGTATGCACCCGATTTTACGTTTTTTATCAGATTATCATTTAAAAAAATGCAGGATGTGGAGTAACTTAAAATCGGGGTAAAAACAAGGCATATATTTCAGAAATTGATTTTTATGACCATTAGGAAAAAAGTGTAATCTTTACTATTTTTTTTCTTCTGTTTTTAAGTACAATTTTAACAATATCTCTCTCGTAACTTACTTTTTTTTGACAAATTTGCTTTTTGGTAACTTTTACAATTGAGTGTTGTTTCTAAGTTTTTATGCTTTGAAACTCTTTATTAGTAGTGGGTATATCCTCTGATTTTTCTTTTATCTTCTTGGTTTTCTTCACTATCATCGAGGTCAATCAAATATTAAATCAAATATTGAAGGAATTGTAAAGTAATGGGGATATGTGTTGCTATATATGCCATCAACTATATGCCATATATATATGCCATCAACTTTGGAACATCTTCAGCCATGTAATTTTAGTCTAAAGGTTCAATGTTACATTTGGATATTGAAAAGACTGATTTAATAAACCTCTTTGAAAGGCATTTTAGTGCCTTGTGGGGTAGAATCAAATTCAGAACTTCCAGAACATTTATTTTTGCATTAGAAGCATGTAGAAGTCAATGGAATCAAGAAAAAGAAGAGATTGCCTTACTAGTTGTTAAGTGTAACGTTCTTTAAAGGATTAGATTATTCCATGATTCAATGATTGAAATTAACTCAAGAAATTTGACTCTCAAATTTTACAATTTAAGCTCGCATACTTCATATAACTACCCTTCCCATGCTTTGCCCATCCCACCACCTTTTTTTATTTTGAGTCAAGGGGGAAATCTTCTCCTGCAGACAAAAGGACAATGAGTTTGAATATAATGAACGTCAGAGCAGCTTCAAACATCTAATAAACAAGTCTTTTTCTCTCTCTATTATAAATAAATAAAAAATAAAAAGAAGAAAAAAAATAAAGAAGGAACTCAGAAGAAGTTTATTCAAACTTTGTAGAGGTAAAATGATTTCGATCTGTTAGTAAATAGAGCATTATTTTTTTAAAAAAAAATAAGTAGCATGAAATCTGGGAACGAACCAGTTAAAATGCGGGATAACGTTTAGAAGCGGGATAACACACAAAACAGACAACGTAAAACTGGGTTTCTGTATAAAAGTAAGTAAGCAATATTTAAAATTGTATTCTAACAGTGCATGCATATAATGTATTTCAAAACCTATAGAAATCTTACAAACTGTTCAATTGGTAAAGTAGGTTGCTTAGTTTTTGCCTACAATGGCTTGAAGCCAGATTTTTGATTCCTCTTGCTGAAGACTGATAATCAGAGTGTACTTTTTTCAATCTTAGTGGTTTTCAGTTTAAATGTTTTTGTGATTTGGAATTCACTCTAATGTAATGCCCCTGACGGTTTCATACTTGAATACCTATGTGCAATTAGGGAGTATGGTGCAATGGCCATTTGGTTGCCCCCACCATCTCGAACCCCCGACTTGCTTCAGTACATTTACACTAGTATTATCTTCGAATCATCATGAAGGATGAATCCCATATTCTTGCCAATAGTCCATAAGTGTAGATGTTCCAGGTTAGCAATCAAGCAAAATAAAGTTTATCAATAATTATTTTTTATTTTATTTTAAATATATATATTTTACTTTTAGAATATTGCGCATTGTGATAATCCTAAAGTCTGTGGAGAATTTTGCAAAACCACTGCCACTTCAATTTCCATTGCTGAAGGTGTTTAGAGACAGTTTCCTTCTACCTTTTCAAAGAATTTCTGCAAAACGAGCTCTACTTTTTGTTTTGATATTTGAAAGGGTGAACAAGGAAGAGGTATTTTAGTGCAGCTATGAAATATTTTTGCTCACTTTTGTCACTGTTGAATGAGATTGGTAATAAGGATGTTGCTTTTTTTTACTCATACTTTCAGCTGAACCATTTTTTTAAGATTGAAATGTTACAAGTATACTTAATAGCTTTTTTTTTGTTGAAAAATTTTTTACTTTCTAATAATAAAAAATATATTCAGGGATGTGATTCTTCCACCAATATGCAGGTTACTGTTTTTTCATGTATTTTTTTTCCAATTGAATTCAAATTAAGAATTCAAGTTCTATATTTACCATATTTAGTTAAATTCATTTAATTGGAATGAGTTTCCCTATTTTAGAATGTCGTCAACTCCATTATTTATAGCTGAAAATCAGTATATTTTGCTTGAACTCAAGTAAATACTATTTTCAACGCTATTATCGATGAATCCCGCGATACTACTTGTCTTATATATGTCAAAAATTAACTTTATATTCCAATGAGTCCTTGAAATTATTTACTACTTAATTCTTACTTTATTGATAATTTGAATATGAAAGTCAATATAATGGAAGTCTTGAGTAGATTTCCTGTTCCTTGATTATTTAAATTAAAGTTTTTAGTTTATCTTTTCATGTGTTTGTCTTGAAATTTTAGATTACATCTTTTTATTTTTTTAAATTTGCATTTTTGATTGATCACATCCCTGTTATTTTCTAATTACAGTTAAAAAATAATATATGTGACATTCGTCTTTTCAAATAAAAATTTGACAATATCATCAGAAATGCAGATTACTATTGTCTGTTTTCTTTTGTTAATACTGTTATCTTTGGAAAAGCTGTTGGCATACCTTAGTTTAGTATATATATTAATTGCAATTAAGGTTTATTTATTCCATTGTATTTGATGTAGAAAAAGTGTGAGATTCATCTCAAAACAGTGTCCCCCCCCCCTTATAGAATTGCTTAAATCCTTTTTTTTTCTTTTTTATAAAGCAATTTTTGACTGCATTTCTAGTGCCAATGAAGTATTTAATTTTGAATATCAACTTTTTTTATTAACTTTTGTGAAAGTATCTCATTAAATTATTTAATTTTTTTTCTTCATAAATGAACTATATTTTCAAAATGTTAGTGTTGATAAAATTGTTAAGCATTTTACTGGTATTTTATGTGATTTGTTTTTTTATCTTTTTTCAAAATATGAATTCCTTATTAATCAATTTGATTGATTTCTTGATCATTTTCTTTAAAAGAAATGCCCATGTTTTTGAATGGAATTTAAGAGTGTTTTGCGCGTAAGTATCAATTTGATTAGAAGACACTTAGTGTTATTTAAAAATTTAGTGCATCAACAATTTTAATTTGTTTTATCCTGGTTAGAATTTTCATTAATGAGTATTATGATGTTTTTGTTTTTATTTATTCAGGTAGTTAAAATAAGTTTATTTAGAAAGTTTTACATTTTCAATTATTTTATGGTTCAGTTAAAATCAATATTTCAATATTTTTTGCAAAAAATTTAAAAAGTTCATGTTTTAAAAATAGATTTCTGTTGAGGTCCATAGAAATTTTTAAGTAATTAAAGTTCTAAATTTCAACTTAAAGTAAAAAAAAAGAAGGAAAACCACATCATTATATTTAATCACATGTGCTTTCATCGTTAATTATTCTGATATTTTTAATGACTAAGATTTGATTTGTTTTATTTGTATTGCTTTCAATGGAATTCTTTAAATCAAGAAAGTAATTAATTACCATGAAATATGTGAAGTAAGACATCATTATATCGTAGAAATTTAAAATGCTAATAAATTTTTTTTACAAACTACAGCATTCTGTGAACAAATGTTATATCCCAAATCTATTTATTCGTATTGATTTTTATTAAATATTTGTTACTGTACATATCTATGATATATATGTATGTTAATCCATGTTCAATTGTATAACTATTTGTTTAACATTTGGTGCAAAGATAATTTCCTTGTTAATATTGGTATTTTAAATATGTTATTGATATTTTGTAACATCATACTATTGATTAGTTTTTGATGCATTATGTCGAAGTATTATTATTGGACGTTTTCGCATATATTATTGAGTATTTTTCATATGTTTTGTAATTGTTGACAAGTTTTGGTAAACATAATAATCGATTAAAAAAGTAAGCATACCTGATTTGTATAAACTATTTTTCAAATTTCTTATTTTATTATAACTTTAAACCTGGGATTCTCTATTAATTTGTGTCATATATTCCATATATTTTATGTTTGTTGTAATTAACTATGATTCATTTTTTTAATAGTATGCAGAATGCAGTTTTAAACCTGCTTAAATCTTTATTAAAAATCCCTGCTTATAGAATTTTGTTCTATAAGACTTGTTAAATAACTGTGTCAAATTAAATGTGGTGATAATTATATATTAAATACTTAATATTAAGTGATAGTGCACTAAATCGACTTATTTTACTTTTTTTTTGTTAAGCTGTTGTGCTTAAAGCTTTTATTTAAATAATCTTTTTTGTTGCTTAGTGTTTATTTCATAACATATTTATTTATTCATTCTGTTTTTTTTAATTACTTTAACTTTTCAGGTTATCATGAATGTTAATTTATTCATTCTAAGATTAATCATATAGCTATAGATAAAATGTTTTTTTTTATTTGTTCCATTTATTTAAAAAAAAATTACAAGATGTTGCACATTTATTTCAAATTTAAGTGTTCAAATGAGTAAAATTTATTACTAGAAGTTGGTCATGAGATTTCTCTTAAATGGTTAAACATAATTTTAGCCTTAATAGGGAGAGAAATCAAAAGAACTTAAAATTCTTCAGCTGCATATTTATAAATTTTTTAATATTACTATTAAAATGAGATCAAGTAAAAAATGTAATTGTTATTCTTTTCTACAGGTGAGTTTTTACATTCGCTGTGAAATAAATAAGACAAATTAAACATGTTTATACTTTAAGATTTGTAAGTTTGTCATACTTTTTTAAGTACAATATTCTTACAGTGATTATGCTTTCAAAGCTTTGTATGACATGTTTCTTATTTTACATTTTAAAAATATATTTTAAAGACAATAAATATAATTTTAAAATAATTTTATTTCTCATTTTTGTATCAACACTTTGCTTATGGTGCTTAACATGGTGAAGCCTGCCATTCTAAACCTCTTGTTCTTCTAGCTGTAAACAAAAAGTTAACGAAAAGCTTGGTTTTTGAATATAAAGAAAAAGTGTTGGTAAAATAAATTATAATTCTATATTGTCTGGTGGTTTGATTCCATGTATTTCTAATTTCATTAGTAAAACACCACAGTTTCATAATAATTTTTAAAATTTTTCAAAATATTATGCGCCTTTTAATTTTTTTTACTAAAAAATGTCATTAATTTTTTTTTATTCTAATGTAATTAAATTTTTCTTTAATTTTGAATTTTTACTGTTTATTTCTACCATTGTGGCCTTAAAATAATTTCTTATAGTCCAAAAATCTACATCTTCCACATTTTACTAACTTATTCACTTTGGTGTACATGTAAGTCACTTGTGGTATTTATGTATATAAGGAGTTATTTCTAAGATATTTATGAGACTACTATATTATCACTTAACAAATGTTGTATATTAGTTTTTATTATTTGGTGTAGGATTGTGTTTGTCTGTTATATAAATAAAATATGCTGTGTAACTTTGATTAAAATGGATTCTTGTATAAATATACTTGTTAGGTTTTTTTGATAAAATAATTACAAACTCCAATAATCAAAGGTTATTTTCAAATGAATTTAACCCTGCAGAACATCTTGCTTAAGTCGAAAGGCTGAAATAATTTGTATTCATTATTTTAATTAATTGTTTTTTTTAGATATTAAAATTCTAATTTTGAATGTTTCCTTTTGTTTAAATAAGTATTTAGAATAAAGGATGCTTAATTCTGACAGATGAATTCATTTATTAACTGATTTACATTACGTGATTTCTGAATCAAAACAAAGGGCTGGTCCACTTTTATGACTGTATTTTATGTGCTATCAAAGTATGTAGATTTTTATTAATGAAAATAAATATTTTGAATGATTCCAAAATTTTGTTTGTTTATTTGCGTCAAAATGTATCCTGTAAGTTATGCTATTTAAATATCAAAATGATTGACTGATGGTTGATCTGACTGTATAGCACAGTCAGATCGTTAATCTAAATTAAGTTATTTTCTCTACCTAATGCTAAGTTATAACGGTTTAGAAAGTAGAAGGAATATTTTAAATAAATTTTGAAGGTGACAGTAACACCATAATGATGCAGTATTGCTGTTTTTTAAGTTTCTTCCTTTCTTTTATTTTAAATTTAGTTGCAATTATGATTTCAGTGACAGGCACAGTAAGTATAGTAGTTTGTGAAAGTAATGTTAAATAATTTTTTTATAATTTATTAAAAATAATAAGTAATGTTAAATTCCTTAAATATAATTCATGTCTTAAATAGGACCAACAATTAAAAAAATAATAATTGTAGGGAAACAGAAGGAGATCAAAATATGTCTCCTTCTACCTCAGAAAGTATCATTTATAATTTTATAAGTATCATTTTACCTAAGAAAAATTTGTTATTATTCTAATTAATCTTTATAAATAATTTACGGTTTGTCAGGAGAAGATGTTGCTGAAAAAAACTGTAAAATAATGTTTTCGGAACTAATCCTCATATGCAGAAACTATATGATACATACAAAATAAACACAACCTGACAAATATTTTAGTTGAAATGGTCTTTTTTAGTTTTTTTTTCTCCAGTCAGTAGAGCAATCTGTGGTCGAACTTGGTGAGAATAAATAACCAGTTTTCAAAGTAGAATGTGAAGCAAAGCACACATTGCTCTATCTTGTCATTTTTCTTTGACAGATTTCATGCACTGTGTCACACTATTACAAAATCATGCCATAAATATGGGTTAAAAATACATACACCATTTGGACTGGACGTTTGGAAACAATTGGATTGGGTGTGGAGGTCCCATTAATTGGTCTCCCAGATCACCTGATTCCTCTCTTTGGGGGTGCTATGAGCATTGTGTGCGACACGGTGGCGCAAATCATCATTACTGTTGCTACAATCAGTGAAACGCCAGGTATCTTCTCAAATATTCGCCAATTCCTGTCCAATCTTGCTCGCATCTAAGCCAATGCGCACAATTTTGCCTCCTATGATACTTGTAAGTCACGCATTGTACTCTTTTGTTGTGTAAGAAAGCGTTTTACACTATATTCTGTGTTGTAGTCTTAGTGTTTCTTGATGAGGGTGACGCTTCCGCCCAAGTTTTCTTATGTACTTCTGGCTCCTAACGATGTTCTCTACCTTACCTCCAAGTTACTGCACGGCATTGTGGGACGTCCTGTACACGCTTTATGGACCGCGGGAAAATATTTCTACTGTAAAAATAGTTCAGCCTTTGATCCCCACCTGGCACTTTTAGAAAATTCCTTATGTGAATCAGTCAGAGAGACTGCCATTTAAGGCCAGAAAATTATTCTGACTACCTTTGTAATCATTAATCACAGAAAAGGGAGCCGCAATGGCTCAGGGGATAGAGCGTTCGCCTTCAAATGAGGTGAACCGGGGTTCGATCCCGGCGATGGCAGGTCGATACGAATTCCGCATCCGTCTCGCACCGACCGCAGTGCTGACGTGAAATATCCTCCGTGGTAGACGGATCATGGGATAGAATCC